CAACACATGGAAGAATTCCGACAAATCCAGCTTGCCTGCGTGGGCCCGTTCATACTCCACCGCCTGTAGCAACAGCTCCATCTTGTCAATGTCGTGGACGAATTGGGCCTCCGGCGTATTATCATCCTCGTACTCTTGGAATATATCTTGGATATCCTGAGCTGCAAGGCCCGGGCACAGCGCCCAGTAGGGACTTGCCAATATATTCGATAACCTCCGCCTCCCGCCTGGCCTTTTCTGCCTTTGGTATATGGGTATCGGCTGGGGTGATGTCGCCAACTATAGACTCGGCCATGTCATGTATCAGAGCCATTTTTGTGCAGCGGGGGATGTCGAGTTTGGCCGCGAGCGCAGGCGGGGCGCACATGGTCATAATGGACATGCGATACATGTGGTCGGATATCGATTCACCGTTGGTGATGCCGAATCGGCGCCATCCTTCGCGCTTTGTGGATTTTAGGCGCTCAAGAAGATGGAAGAAGGGAACGGGGCTGGAGGTGTTCTCTGCGAGTGGGTGTGGGAGAGTGGCGATAACTGTCACGTCCGTTGTTAGAAACTATCGTCTCAATCCCGAGACTACAAAATAGACAGCGCAATAAGAATAGGACAAAACACCAACCGGACTGAGCTGTCCATGGAGCTTCCTTGAGTGTAGTCGACCCCATGATGCGAGCCCCTAGTAAATGAGGGAAACGCTGTTATTGAAGAGGATTTGCGACAGTTCCAGCGCCAGTCTGGATGAGTAGTATTTAAAAGAAAAGAAAGAATCAAAAAAGAAATAAGAAAACTCTTGGAAAGAATGACAGTCACAACCAAGTGTGCAAAGACTCTTGTCTGTATTTCAGTAGAGGATAAGCATCTGAAGCAGTGAGAGAATGATTAAATAGAAGCAGACCCGCGGTTTCGCCCTAGGACAAACAGGACAAACAGGACAAATGCTGCGAACGTTGCAAACAAGACAAACCTTTCTTGTTTACTTCAATTCTACTGCAATCGCGTTCTTTACCTAGTTATGTCATCTACAATAATTAACTAACCAACTTAGTTGCTGAAACCATTACTCGACAGTTGAACGCTTTGATTATGATACCCCAAAAATGCAATCTTCCTCCAGTCCTCTTCCCAATCCTAAGGGGTTCAATTGGCTGGTCTCCTCGCACATAACTGCCTTTGTGCGGAATCTCAGGCTATTGCATCTTGACCAGCTCCCTGACTGGCCGGATATAACTGTCCGCACTTTTGCAAGTTCCCAACCAAATCTCCGCCAGCGCGTCAAAGCGGTCGAATGGTCTTTGTACCAGCTTTTTCTGATATGGGATCCAGAGGAGACTCAGAATGTAAGTTCAGTATGAGAGCTGTCGCTAAACCGGAAGAAAAAGAAGTGTTCTAAACCTTCTTTATTAGAAATTGCGTCCCTTTTTCCCTCCGCTGGAGCCCTTGCAGTCAGTTAATCTCCGGGCCGCCCTTTTTCGTGCCCTTTCCGATGTCAAGAAAAATGGCGTTCTCGGAAGGGAGGCCATCCTCCGCAAAACGATGCTCGATGAATGTAAAGGGAAGAGATTTGAGGAGGCATTGTACATGTTTTCCACGGCTGTGCTGCAGAAAAAGAGATTGGCTCATGCAAGGGCCCACCAAAATCCAGTGCTTGAGATGTGCTTCAGTGGGAGGACCTCACCTCTAGATCAAGAGATCTTGGTTCCACTGATAATAGCACATCGTACCTCACTCACGGCCATGATCAACCATAAATGCTATGCGCGAGAGGCCTATGAACAACTGAAGAAGCTGCTTGACAGCAAGACGGATGAACTCGCTGTCCGATCAAAGGAAGTTGCCAACAAATCAACCATAGAGAAAAATAGCTACACTGATGATATCATGAATTTATGGCATGGAGATGAGAAATGGGCGGATACGATTCTCAATGGTGGCTTGCAGGCGCCTTCTGACCACGTTCTTGACTCCTCCTTTTCACGGACATGGTCCTTGGCAAAGAATGGTCGATTAGATGAGAAAAGCAGTCACCGGTCCTCCTCTGATCTACTAGCTGATTTGGATAATCGACTTGCAGAACAGGAAGCTAGGGTTGAGAGATGGCGGAAATTCAAGCAATCACTAGAGCAAGAAAGACATGCTGCACAACCCTTGAAAAGCTCCATCTCATCCCAGCCACTAGCTTTTCGTGATCATCAATCGTTATCAGTTGTTTCACTTGAGCATCCAGATCGAAAATCTGTTGATCAGTCACTTCACGACAGTGAATACTCTTCTTTAATTTCGGCGCTGGATGCTTCTCTTCTCAAGCATGAAGTCAACATCTCGCGAAATAAAGAACAGCTACATTCTGCAGATTTAGGAAAACAGAGGCTCAAAAATCTTCATTCAAATCGTGATTATTCCATAGACCAAGCCACTTTAACTCTACTGGCAGACCAACCAACTCCAACTTACAGCAACATGGATAATATGTCCATAATCTCTTCCCTTCCAGCACATGGTAGCACCAGAAGCTCCCCACAGTTCGAAAGTGAAGAAGTAAGTGGAGTAAAAACTCCACACTATGAATTCTCATCCGGCCATGGCACCCCCTCAATCACAATCGACTATGATTGCAACGCAAGCCCCAAATCCGAGGACGCGGAATCCCCACAACCTATCTCCATCAACCCGAACAGGGCCGCTACAAGCACACTTATCGAGCGCACAAGGAAATCCATGACATTCCTCCCCGCACCCACCACCCAACCCCGCAAGTCATTGTCCCACGCAGCAAAGCCTCGAAAATCCCAAATCTTCCCCGTGAACCAGTTTGAGACCCCTAGAAAGGACAGAACTGGGAGTTTCCAACAGCCAGACTCGGGGACGTCGACACCCAAGGAAGAACTCTTTAGTCAGGAGGCGGACTATGCTAGCGTGTTCAAGAGTAGGCCTAGGGTGGCTATTAGTCCTGTCAACTCACCGTCGGTTCATATGTTGCCGATGAACGATAGTGATGTTGATGCTGATGCGGATGGCGAACAAGCCATGGACATACACGGTGGCATGGCTGGATCTGAATTGCAGAATTCGCCGTCGTTTGGAGCTCGGTTCACATCTAAAGTTTAGGATAACAATTTGATTGTGTGGTTTATCTTACGATGGGAGGTTGTTTTGATCCCATTTATGCGATGCGGTTTCTTTTTTCAATTCGGGTCCTAATATTGATTATAACGACGTTCTTTGGGGATTTCCCTTCGATGCTCGCTCGTTGGTTTATATCCCAGTCTTGAAGATCTCTTACTCATATCCCTCTAGTTTTCCACAGACGCCATTCGCTACCTTGGAAACGATCATATAATAGTGACAGGAAAACCCGATGAATCGACGAAAGTATCCGTCAATTCCTATTTTCTTTCATATCTGGAAATGTGATACAGGGTCCTCTGACTACAGAACGTCCGTGTTCGCAGTTCAATACCCACTGATAGTCGAGGCGTAAGGTCTCCGTGTTGTTTGATACTGAAGTGCCGCTTGGAATTAATTGATTGTAGCTCCGGTAAAATATTCATTAAAATTAACGTTTTAGCCTGACTGCCCAACACATGCTTGCAAACTTTCCCGCCAGGGGCGGCTATCAGTCCCCAATCCTCGTCCAATCAAGACGATTTTGCAGCTATCTACCGCAGAGGGGTGTCTGTTGTCTGTTTCTATAATCTCGAAAACTTCTTGAACACCTTGGATGATCCGCGTCCCACCATCTGTCAGGCAGAGTAGCCCCTTCAGCCGATGGATCTCGAAATCTTTCATAGTTGGAAGACTCGGGCTTGTTGGTTTGGGAAGTAGTTGTTGATCCCACAGTAATGATCGTAGCCATACATCCACTTTTGGTACGCTTTCTGGGGCTATCTTGTCAATGGTGAAGGAAAGTGTTGATATCGACTGGATGAGCATATATCTTGGTTAGAAGGGAAACGAACTCTAAAATTTAACGTGTTCTCTTATAATGTGAAGAAGAATTATGGACAGTAACATACGGGATCGAGATGGCTGTGGCCCTTCTCACTGAAATCGACATCGGTCAGGTTATCATACGCATGAATCTCAAGCACAGTTCCTTCGAGATTTGGGACTTTGCTACGGTCCGTGACAATAATTTTCGCCACGCCGTTAATAGAGGTAACCCGCTCCTTAACCTTCTCAAGCTCAGCAGGTGTGATCAAGTCGCTCTTGTTCAGTATGATCACATCAGCATGTGATATTTGAAGATGGGCTGTGGTCAAAACTTCCCCATGGTGGATTCCCTGGATTTCTGATGGAGCAGGCTCGTTTAGAAGACGGAGGATGTTTTTCCCGTCAACGAGAGTGACGATTCCATCGAGGTAGATGGTACTGCCTAGCCCATCGTCAACCCAGAATAAGGGAGCGATGTTGCCTGGGTCTGCGAGGCCGGTTGTTTCCAGTAGAATGTAGTCAAATGTGCCTTGGCGTTCCATGAGCGATTCAATGGCCGCTACGCCTGTATCTCTATTGGTGATATTAGCTGCAATTAGAGCAGATGAAATATCCAGTGTGAGAAGAAAAAAAAAAAAAAAAAAAAAAAACCTATCCTCTCACCTGACAGAACAACATATGCAGCCATTTGCCAGCTCTAGCCATTCTTCAACTTGTTCACGGCCTTTATTGACGGTTATTGACTTCTCGATATCAATTGCTGTCCAACCAAGTCAGTAATGCATCATAGCAAAAGAGAGCACAGCAATCAATAAATTACATACAATCTCCAAATTCTACGATCCCTCCAGAACGTTAGAAAGCGTTGAAACAGGGACATGGGAGTGGGTGGTTACAAGCCGTTAAGAATCACTGCTATTTTCTTCCCGTGTTTTTCACCCAGAATATAGTTAAGCAGCGTCGTCTTGCCCGCACCCAGGTAGCCTGCCACAGGCTTATTTTAGTCAACAGAATTCTCGTAACTATTCTATATATTTTATCTGACAGCCACCCCCTGCATACATACCTGTTACAATCGTGATAGGCACTCTGTTCAGCTTCCGTTCAGCGGGTGTCTTTACATCAGGGCCCTCCAGCGAGTTCATGTCGACTAGTTCAGGCGGGCCCTCCTCATCACTGTCATTAAAATCCATTTTTACTTTTTCTCACAAAGAAAGCAAAGCGAATCCGGAAACCAGAAGATTTATATTCCTGTCTCGGTCGATTTGATATCTTGATATCTAAGTCCCTTACTTACACCGTCCCATATACACCGAAAGGACTACCTGAGGCTGCGCCAACCTGTATCGGGCCACTTAGGGCTTAGGGCTGGTCGGGGCGGCAGAACTAGCTTCCGTCATGGCACGGGACTGGTGTTTGTTCGAGGCAACGTCAGAGCCTCACTTCAACGCGAACCGTCAACAACAACCATTTCCCCTATTCCCCGCCAACCACGCCACGCCACATCCATTGCGCCCGCTCGAGCTGAAGATGACTGCTGCTGGAGCTTCTCCCTCCAGCTCACCTCGGTTGCCCAGCCCCCCGCCATTCACTGAGGTCCAGTTTGGGCCCCAATCCCCGACGGTTGGCGAAGGGTTTAGGACATCTGATGAAGATCTCCTGCGATTACCTCATGAGCCCGACAATGCATCAATGCGCCGCATACGGCCAGGGACCAAATCTACAGATATGGCATCTGGACCCCCTCTCGTCCCGCTCTCCCAGGTTGGTCAATCCTACTGCAAAACCTGAAATGATTGGGCGCTAAGTAACTATTATCGCGGTTCAGCTCGATTCACCATTCCAATTACAAGAACACCTTAAAGCTTTATATCAACACTACACCAGACCTAGTGACTCCTCAACTCTCAACCCAATAACTCGTGATGTTGCGCGGTATCTTTCAGAACCGCCGGAAGGAGTAGAACGCACTCTATGGCTCTATGAGCTCTGCCGGTTCCTCACCATGAAGGCCAATAACCTGATCGTAGCCTTTTTCGCGGAAGACCCACCGTGCTCTGCACAAACATGTCCGGAAATGCGCGCCTCAGAATGGCAATACCTGTGCGCTGTCCATGATCCTCCCAAATCTTGTTGCGCCATCGACTACTGTTGTCATACCCTTGACTGGGCCACGAACACCCTGACATCCCCCAAATACTTCCCAAGCAGGCTAACTCTTGGTTCAGAGTCCTCTGGAGGACCTCAGACGAGCATGAGGCATCTTACCAATATCTTCCGACGCGTCTATCGCATATTCGCGCATGCATGGTTTCAGCATCGTGATGTATTCTGGCAGGTCGAAGGACATGATGGCCTCTACATTTTCTTTAAGACAGTCTGCGATGCATACAATCTCATTCAGGAAGAGAATTATACAGTCCCCGCAGAAGCGGAAGGTATCCAGCCTACAAACAACCGAGATACGGATCGTGACTCCAGCCGCCGTATGACCGTTTTGCAGAGGGAGCCAGAAAATCAGGAAGAAAATCAGGAAGAAAAAGCAGCCCCGGAAAAACAGCCAGAACGTGAAACTCCAGCGACAACAACTAGACGACATAAAGTTTCTCCTTCACTAGGGGCTATTGTCTCAACAATTACAGAAGCTTCAGAGGATGACGATGTAGGCAAAAATCCCCACACACCTAAAGAGGACACTATTGTACAACTCCCAAGTGCAACATCCCCTGAAGGTGAAAATGAACCATTCCCAACCACATCCACGGAAGTCTCTACGACTGAAGCAGTCCCGGTGGAACAAAGTATGTCTGAAACCCCCATCGATGGTGGTGGTGATGGTGAACAGGAAAAGCCAGAGATCGCGAGACCGCCAGCAGTTGAGTCAGCGCCAGAAAGTGCTTCAACTGAGGAGAAGGTAGAAGCTCTGGAATCGCCAACTACTCCAGTTAACACCTCGGAAAAAATTGAGGAAGATTTGTCGGACGATAAAGCTACGGTTACTGAAACAGAACCATCGAAAGCAGATGAGGCAGCTACAGAAACGACGGCCGATAAGGAACCAGGTAGCCCTGACGCTCCTACAACTGCGATTGAGGTCAAGCCTGACTCAGACAAACCTTTCTAATTCCCCCGCTTTCTTTCCATGTTATTGTTCCCCCATACCTTTTTAATCTTTTTTTTTCTTTCTGTTTTTAACATCGTTTATTTGGAGGGAACTTCACGCGGCGTTTTTTCCCCAGAATATACCAAATATACTTGCTTCTATTAAGATGTGTACATGATATATACCCATATGTATATTGTTCTTGTTTTGTTACGGCCCGCTTCCATCCTTTGAGATGACATTAACAAAACCTATTTTCGGGTCCTTTCTATTTTATCGTTGTCTTTTCCCCTATTTTTATGCAAATCGGACATTTTTTACACTGAGCATCATTGAAGCGCTGGAATGGTTGCGGTTTGAGGATGTATGCATATAGGGTTAGTTTGGATAGATATCTTACTCACTTACCTATTGTTACTATCATTAAGCGATTGGGGTAGTCTTCCAAACCGGAGAGAAGATCTCGGCTTCTTCATACCTTTCTTCCTTACTCAACTCGGAGTAAACTGTATATCATCGGCCTTATTCCCCTCCGTCTCTTTAATTTAGTATGCTCTAAATTATTCTTCATCTAAAATATGCAGGCCGACTAATCTCGCAAACTATTCCCATCAACGAGTTATTATCTTCAAAGTTTGTAAACCCAGGACAGGGTATATATAGCCATTTAACTACATTTTAGTGATCAGTTATCTTCTATTAACATCGTCTTCACCAACTTCACGCTCTCCATCGTTAATAATTGATTGGGGAGTAATGACAATTCCAATCAAACCCTTACAGATAGATTAAGTCACATTGCCTGTCAAGCGTATTTCATTTCTTAATAGTTATCAGCACAAACTTAAGCTATAGATACAGCAGCTCCAGACATTGAGATTACCGGGCGAGGTTTCACATCTCCAATATCCAGATTTTCTAACGTTTGCAAGGCCTCTTATTACAAACAAAATGTAGTCCTCTTCTCAGAAAAGCCTATTAATTCTGAACCACCAGGCCGCTGACCAATAAGCAAAAGAATGCCTCGGTCGTCACTTGATCAATAGTTCAATATCCCTCCAGAACCCACCGTTGTTAGGTGAAGTTTGCCGTTGCAGGGCTACAGTATGAACCGTGTTGACTGGCCTTTTTAGGATCAGAGCGGTGCATTTGGTTTTATCTGCTGCGAACTGCAATCTGTCAAAGATATACTGGCGTACCTCAAGGGTGATACCATTATGATAGCAGATGTGGAGCACTCTCCTAAGCAAAAAGAGTCCTAGGTATCAACTGCTCTGCGACAAAATGTAACGGTGTCCAGAAGGAGAAGGAATATATGGTGTAAAAAGTAGGATAGTAGAAAAATGCTTCCAAATCTGATTAAAAAATTGGCTATCTATGGAGAAATAATAAATAACATGTTCATAATATCATTAAATCTGACGATTCTGGCTGGTGATGAAGCGAGAACGGGGATATGATGAACGTATGGAATATAGAAAAGGAGAGAAAACTATATACATAAGAAGTGATAAAAGGAAATATATACAAACCAAGAGGATGGATGGATGTTTTGAAATGGTGTGGAGAAATCGCAATGGAAGGGAAAGCAAACAAAGGCTGTATTTATCAATTGAGCTGTATTGATGCGAGATCCATTGGTTTGGTAGATTTTGGAAATGGACGGGATACACATGAACGATGCAAATAGATGGAGACTCCATGCAAAAAACGAGTAAACTTTGGAAACAGTAATCGAGGCCGTACGAGGTGGGTTCGTTCTGAAGGGGTTAGGGACAGCACATTTCCAATATGACGGAGGGGTATGAGAATGTACGTTCTGTATCGTTGTGCATATATACGTGATGCTGATATGCAATCATGGTTTGCGAAGGCGATTGATTGGGGGAAAACAACTGCTGTGGAGTCGGAAGGGCGTAAACGACGAGATGGGAATTTCTCTAACGTTGGAGTTGCGGGTTTCGAAGATCCCGGGTTCCTACAGCGATAACAGATTAGCATTGGCACAGTGGAATCACCCAGAAGAAAATCGTACATACATTAAATATCTATTTCTAATTTTCACATCCTGGGCAGGAATTTTCTTTCTCTCCCACCGCCCGATGAACACAGGATTTCACCCAATTTACACACCAAGTCCCCAGAATTGATAAGAAACATGAAAAAATAAAACAAGACAAGAATGATAATGAACCATAGATATGAGGTCCTCAGGAGTGCAAATGCATTAAAGGGTGCAAAGGGTAACGGGAATAAGATAAGTTATTCCAACAGATAAAACAAAAAACACTATTATAGTAACTGATTAAAATTTAACGCCAAAGAAATGCTGGAAAATATATTGGGAGAAATGAGGTGATAGAAAACTTTAAGAGGAGTACGAGCAAGCTATGTAATGGTTTTGAGAGGGGTATGCACCTGTTTTAATCACCCTCCAGAAAACAACATTTTCGGAATGAAAATCGGAATCAAATCAAAACCAAAAAGTCAAGAACAATAACAATAACAATAATAATAATAATAATAAGGCTTGGAAAGACTTTTCAAAATCATGTCTATAAAACCCCGTCAAATAAAACCTATTTCGTTGCCGAGATAGAGATGAAGAACGTGTATACAGGAATAGCAGAAGCAAATAAATTCGGATCCAAAAACATTTTCGCAAGTGATAAAAGAAATAGAGCATTTTTGATGTTTCCACCCATCGAAACAAATTATTTGAGCATCATGTAACTCAATAGCCTCCCATGAATAAGGATATCGTGAAGGCGGGGCCTGTAGCCTGTGTTATGCTGCGTAGACTCCAACTTTCAGGGTATATTTATGTAGTTCAGAGCGTCCTATTGACATCTTGCCCCTTCCCGGACTAGAAACCCGCGATGGCGCATCTTGGGTTATTGGTAAGCTGGAGATAAGGAGATCTGATGATTGTCCCATTTCCTCTCCAGAACTAAATATCTGAGGCTCTGGATATATACCATCGAAATTCTACGAGGGTCATCTGGTTTGCAGTCCTGGTTTGAGAGGGCCCTTAGAGCTAGGATTAATAGGTAATTCTGACTTAGGTAGATCATCAGGATGACCAGTTTGACAATTGATTGTGTTGAAGGATGTCCCTAATCAGGTTAATTTGGTAGTTCTGGCACAACAGGATCCTTAAATGACGGATTAATCGGCAATTGCGACATGAGGAGGTCAACAGAACGATCGATCTCATAACTTAATTGCTCTGGATTTCCTTCTAGAGGAGAATGTTTAGAAAAGCCCCTTAGAAGTCTCGGTCCAACAAGATTCTGAAATGCGGGATTAATGGGCAACTCGGGCTTGAGAAGGTCTTCAGAAAAGTCAGTTTGACAACTAGTACGGTTTAAACCATCTTCAGGACCAGAAGGACAGAATTTCTTTGTCGGAACCGACCGTGAACCCGGTTCATCATTGGAATCCTGAGGTGGCGCATAGGAAACTTCACGCGCTATAGTCCCAAAAGCCTGGTTGACTGGCAGCTGTGATAAAAGAAAAACATGTGGCATGCTGGATTGCACTTCGGGAACTGCGGGAGGTTGGCTTGTAGCGTTGAAGAAATCAAAATTCTGATTAACTTTGGCATGAGGAGGAGGGTAGCCAACGAGTTGTCTGAGCTCAGAATGATCCTTAAAAGCTGGGTTAATTGGCAAATTTGATGTCAAGAGCAAATTATCCTCTTGCACTGGCTCAGAAAGCTCCTTGAAAGTAAGGTCAATTGACAGATTTGACAAGAAAAGGTTCTCAAAATGTGCAGTTTGAAGATCCTGGTCTCTTGGAAGGCAAGTTGATAAATCGGTGGCGGTAGGCTTTGTGAGGGTTGAAGTATCAAAGCTTGGACGATTTGAGTACCCAATGTTCTTGTCCTTTGATACAGGTGGATCCTTATATGCCGGATTTATAGGTAGAGAGGAGCCCAGTAAGTCCTCTCGGTTTGTATCTTCGGAGGTTTTGGTCTCAGAATCCACAACTTGAACTTGCAGCACCGCTTCTTCACCAACCTCAGCAGTATCAAGGTATGTTTCAGGTTCGTCACCTTCAGCGCAAGGCTGTGAGGTTGGCAAGTCCCCAGATAAGTGTGGTTCTGCCAACTGCACTGAATTGACCTCAGTACCGCAAGGAGCGTGCCACCCGATACATGTGAGAACTTCCGGAGCCACAAAAGTTCCCATTCTTAATGGTACAGTGCCATGAACTCTAGAGGATAGCGTGACACTCGACGGAGGAGCGGCTAAGATTGCCTCCCCATTAACACCAATGTCAGGATTCTCAAAGCACGCACCCATATCCGAGGATTCAAAGAAGGGAAGATGTAGATCGACATCGTTCAACGAGGCCAACGTCGTTACATGGTGGTTATCTACCGTCGTTTCTTCTCCATGAGAATCGTACAACGGAACGTCTTCCGAAATAGGTACAGGTCTTGGTCCACTAATCAATCCAGCATCGTTAGCAACGTCAATCCTTCTAGGAAGGTTCTCATCCAGGAATCCAGAATCTCGTGGCGCCTGCATTGGGTCGGGAGGAGAAGGCTCCACATTCACAGCTACAGACTCGCTCACCATAGTTGGGGGATGTTCAGGGAACAAATTGAGTAGTTCCTTCGCCGACAGTCGATCCTGAGGTCTGGTACTTAGGCAAATATCAACTACATGTCGATAATAGTCTGGAATTTCCAAGTTGGTTGGTATTACGAACGGTCGAAATTGCTTGCCAGGGTCGTCTTCTTCGGTAGCCAGAGCCCAAAGAGTCATTCCCAGTTGATATAGATCGGACTTCACCCCAATATACATTGATATCTTTTGGTTATTTTCTAGCTTCTTTGTGAACTCTGGCGCCTCCCAGCCCACCGGACAACCCCTTCTATTGATGTCAATGATTTTCGCATCATCTTTGTCGTCAATGACGATATTTGAAATTGTGAAATCACCCTGAACAAAGCCAGCTTCATGAATTTCTGCAAGACCTTGGATAGTTTGCCGTGCCCATCGCTCTCTTCTGGCCCATTCAATACTTCTAACTCCTTTGTTTTCATAAAATAAGTCAACCAAGGCACCTTGGTCAGCGAAGTTGATCAAAAGACCTTTCACCACCATCATATTATCATCGACGACGATAGCTTTAAGTTCGATGACACATTGAGACCCGGACAGAGCATGCAGCGCGTTGATTTCATAAAGAAACTCATCCACGGATTCCGGAGCTGGGACTTCCTTCTTCACATAGAATTTGTTGTTCAATTTCACCTGAAAAGCGAAACCAGACAAGTGGGTATCCAAAAAAAGCTCGCTTTCGCGGACAAAATGCAGCCCTAGGTGCGCAACTGTAGATGATGGTGGGTAAGGAACGATCTCATTCATATCTTCAGTGACATGAACGTGGAGCCGGCCATCAATAGTTTCCAACTTAAGATTAGTCACCGTGTCATAAAACTGGATTTCGCATATTGAGTCGCGGATTGATTCGTATATTCGAGCACTTTTATCCCGTTGATAGTACAAAGATTTGAGATCCTGTTCAAGAGAGTCCAGTTCGGCATTTCGGTAATCGCAAGATACGGTAACTCTCCGCCATCTGTTTGGGGTCTCTGCGTAGGTGATAAAAAACTTCTCTCGATCAGATTGATCTCGAAAATGCATGCTCAGATTCAATACCCATTTATTGTCCAACTCCTTCTCCAACATAGATTCTAAATCCTCCCCATTTACCGAGAAGGTGGCGTCTTTATAGGTGCCAGATTCATAATGTTCCGGTGCATGGAAGGAGACAGTATCAACACATGAAGGAAACGTGAGATCTTTATCGTGGTACCGCACATCTGGAACAGACAATCGTGCGGTAGAAACTGGAGGTGCTGACGGATTTCGGTGGCCGCTGAAGGGTCGACGGCGGTCAACGGACAACGCGCGACTGCGGCCTGCCTCATTACGATAAAGGCGGTCATATCGTTCCGAATTCCGTCTCTTGAGAGTTGGAAGGCGGGGCAGGCTCACCCGAACATTTCTCAATACCGATTTGGGCGGATTGATGTTGTTGTTCTTAGCACTTAGACTGCTAATATCACTATTGTCATTATAAGGTTTCTGATGATTGCAATTCACAGAGTTCGGGGAAACAGAACGGCGGCTATCCTTTCCCAGCCATGAAAGCCCCAATCGATCCCACATGCTCTGCTTTGACGAAGGAACCTTTGTGGGGCCAGGTATGGGGGAAAATGGTCGAGTCAAGGGGTCAAGAGGGTCGAAAAATGAGATGGCCATGCAGCACGATTTGGCGCAAGCTCTAGCTCGCCAGTTGCTACACAAGTGAACTGGGCAACGGCCTGTAGGGTACCAATGCGTCCATATGAGAAGGAAGTTGGAAGAGCCGTGTTGCGGACGGCGTGCTTATGGTGGAGTCACAGGCGGGTTGCTCAACAGGAGACAGATCAAACAATGTCCATGTGCAAAAATAATTACAGGCAAGTTTGGGTTGACTCATCTGCGAGAGAGGATATATCCTCAATCAATTGCAGAGATTGTCAGCAAATCTGTGTTGATCCGGTGGCTCATTCCAGGCCACCAAAAAATTAAAATAGTTCATTAAGAGGACACGCAGAGAACACACGGAGATCAGAGTCGAAGCCGGGATAATGGTCAAGGTTATTGCCGTAATGATATTCAATTACCATGAAAATAGTGAAGCTGATGAAAATACCGGGCCCAGGGGCAATCACCGAATGTAAAACCACCGTGGTTTTGTGGGTGGGATGTTGTTTGACAGGAGTTGTCGAGAGCATGCAAAAAAGATGAGGCTGGACGGAGCGTTGAGAAAACCCATCGCTAATAATAAGTTAGTAAACGAAGCTTTTTTTTTTTTTTTTTTTTTTTTTTTTTTTTGGTTATTTAGCTATGATTACCCTTATTTTATTCTTACTTATTTTATTTTAATTTATTTTTCTATTTATTTTAATTTCGTTCTTGTCACCACCAACCAACAGCTCGATCTTCACACATGCAACTCTCCCGGCAAAGCCCTTGTCTCTGCATGAACTTTTAAATAAATCATGCAAGCTATTTTCCCCAAAGTATGAAAGAGACAAAGCCACGAGAACGTCCCATTTAAACATGTATCCATCTGGGCTGGGAACTGCGTCTACGCGGTCGATTGGCATAGGATTGACAAAGAACACACACGCTAGAGCCCTGGATATGATGCTCATATGCATGTCAACCTAAGAGAATTCAACTGGTGCAAAAGCTAACAATTGTACATACAGACACCCATGGATATACTTGCGTCGGCAACAGCATGATGCGCTACGTTGCTACATCAACAGGTAGGTACCTGACTGGGATTGTTCTGGAGAGGCTGATATACCCCTTCACTGGCGTCTCCCTATCTAACTGCTGCTGTCGTCAAGGCCCTCTTCTCGTGAAGTCGACCATTATCTCCCTGTTCCTGTGAGAATGAGAGAGGGTAGGCTACAAAACTATCTCTTATGATATCTACTATCAAGAGAGCAATTGGCTCAAATCTTCTTTATCTGAGACGTTAGGGCCAGCTCATAATCCCTCCATCATAGTTACAACGCAACTTTACTTGGGTCTGCATTTCATGGGATGTATCCAGCCGTTAACTGTCCCTCCCACGAGCCCTCATATCTAACCACAACAAATAAACCCGAAAACCATGGTCGCAGTCAAAACAAGCCTAAATAAACAACCACCAGAGAATATGCTATGATCCCGGTCCTGGAATCCTCGTCATTTGACCAACTTTTCTTCCTGCAGAATTTCGAAGGCACATATCCCACCAGATCAATCACTGATCCCAGGGTTTCGCCTTGGTCTGATCCGCTGTTGAGTTCAAGATATCAAGGCCTACCTTTGATAAGGCTGCTTGTTCGTTGTGTTCTTACACTATGCAACCAACCATGCCTTAGCTGATTTTCACAATGCGTTGGCTCCAGTTGACACCCAAGATTCTAGATCCCCAACTGTCTTCGGGACCACAGTTGAGAACAAGCATCTCCCATAAGTTACAGAAACATCTTCTTTGCGGCTTCTTACAGGTAGCCACGTTGTACTGGCACTGCCTTTTCCTTCATTTTTATTTTTATTTTTATTTTTATTTTATTTTTATTGTTTTGGCCTAATCGATTTGCTTGTTGAATTTTGACCCGATTCTCCACACCATCTGGCTAACAATCCTTCGTTGGTTAACTACTCTGCTAGCTAAGCTCCACGTCGACCTCTAGAATTGCATCATAACATTGACAGCATTGAATCCCCTCTTCTTTGCCCCTCTCTCGTTGAAAATCTCCGCTTCATCATGCCAAAATAAATTGGGACAACTAAACTTGCGGAACTGGAAAACAAGATTTTATTTAAAAGCGGTCTGTTTAAAAGACTTGAATTTCTCTTTCCAATGTTTCCTTGTGATGAATTTATCTGAAGTTATGCATAATTGGACTACTCTCTACCTTGAGGGATCTCCGTATTCAAATTTTCGTGCGGTCCATGTTGACGTGTTAAGTCCCTTCGCCTTGTTTCTGGCAGGGCAACACCCAAGGAAATCAATATAAAACGGAGGTCAAAACTGTCAGGCATAAAAGCCTCAACTCCGCCTTGGCGAAGGCACCATTATTGGGCGAAAAAGAATCACTAAAGCTACATATTCCATCCACAGCATCTTTTATCTGGCTTAGCACTCCGGCTTAATTAACCCTTGAAAAAAAAAAAAAAAAAAAAAAAAAAAAAAAAAAAAAGACCTCAATCTGAAGAATTTCCATGCCATCCATGACTAGCGAGACATTCTGGACCCGACCCCAGGTACTCAAAATACAATGAATGATTGGATTCTTACCATAAACATGACAATTCATTTAAACAGAGCTGACCTTGGACGATAACCCCATTCCCGCCAAAAGAAGTATTGATGAAAACGGCAAACGAGCCCTAAATTTTAGCCCGCTGTAAAGAGATGTTGATAGCCAAAATAAAAGTGGCTAAGTTGTTCTCAAAAGGGGCTGTCGACTTCGAAGTCATCCTAGGGCAGATATTCGCTCAGTAACAAAAGCGCAAAATCTTTTCGACGAATCACCCTTTCCGTGGGCGCTTAAAAGATACTGTTGAATTCACAGACAAGTTTAATTCTAAAGATAGTTATTAATTCTTCAACTGTGTTTCGCTAACCTCTTCTTTTCCTCCTAGCCAACCACCCACTGCAGATCTCTTCTCTATCTTTCAAAGGACAACAACAACTTGAAATTGATGAGAACTCAACACTAGAGGTTCAGATGGAGGGATATTTCTCTCCAACCAGACGCCCCCACAGTTGGGCAGCTGCCAGCGTACCAACATGTTGTCATTCCCAACTGCAAATCAAGCATCTTCTCACAAGCACAACTAAACAACAGTTAGTTAACTAGAGAACAAGGAGGACCCTGCGCTAATAGACTGAACCTGCGTCTGTTTTTCTTTGCCGTTCCCCCCCTTTTTTTTTTCAAACAGTCTCGCGCTTTAAGAAGTGGGAATATAATTTAAAATCTCAATATTTCCGAACAGCAAGACTTGCTTAACAAATCCAAGTGTGTTGATATTCATACAAGCTATTGGGCACTCCAGGCGCATGTTCGGGAAAATCGGATACAAAATCGATATCATTGACCCCGAAGTATTCTACTGTGCGTTTGTTACTATGAAAAATAATACTCTCCCAGGGGATCCAACTTCCATCCTCGCCAAGCCACCTGCTCTGCCATCCGCGGGAGTATGGGAACGAACTACTTTATGCGTTGTTCGGGTATTTATGACTTTTCTACATGGATTTTTGTTCTGTTTATCATGGAGAAGATGGGAAATGAAGATAATTAGGATAATAAGAGTGTCAGATGACTGTTACTCTCACCCTTTTCACTTTTGTACTAATTCAATGGATCCCCATTTTGCTTCTGCAGAATCATGTCAAGGGATGCCATTCACCTGGAAAAGAATGTGGCCTGCCCAGTGACCTATTCTATATCCAACAACTAAGAAACGGGTGCACTATGGCATATTTAAATCCACCCAATGAATGTGTGTGGAGATAAGAATGATATATTGCAAGTAGCTTTCTCTATTGCTTTATGAGATAAAGGTCTGGTCAAAGAGAACTTCACATTGTCTAATAAATAGGAAAGATATTTCTAGTTCTCTTATGGTTTGTTTCATTTGCATCTATCCGATTCCGTTTGACTGTTCCCGTTGCCAAAAAGAGAGCTGCAAACTCCGCAAACCGTAAACCAAACACAGGAGGCTGCAGGAAGGGACTTTTAACATACCAGAAATAGAATCTAGTCGTGAGGTAGATGCTTTTGATTTTTCATTGGCGCCACGGATATGCACACCACACAGAACAGGAAAATATATGTCTATTCTTTTCTTTTCTTTTTTTTTTACCTTTAATTGAAGGTTCCCAAATTCATCTGCAAGCAATTTTTCTCATGTGCATCCGTGGATTCTCTCTTTGAAGCACAAGAGGAGAAATGAGAAGGAAATAAGGACGAAGGAAATAGGGAAGAAAGGAACGAAAAAGAAAAAAAAAAAAAAAAAAAAAAAAAAACTCATCGGTGAAAAAGAGTATATTTCATGGTGTAGGATGCACCAAACATATAAATGCGGTGTGGGGACCATCAAACGAACGCCGGGGCCAATGCTGTGAAGAGAGAAGAGATATAATATGCCCATAGATGCCGGGGAAATAAGCCTTTCAGAGGTACAGTGAGGTAAGAAATAAAATAATAATAATAATAATAATAATAATAATAATAATAATAATAATAACTATATATAAAAAAAATTTGTTATACAGTCATTCAAAAACAAAAAGAAACCCATGCGCATCAGTTTGTTGAACCCTCCTTGGGATTGTCAGATTTTATGACGTTGGGAACCTGTTCAAGTTGGGTTTTCCACATATTTTGAGCTTGGATCTTGTCAAGGTCGCGGAAGATGATGTCGTAAACTTCTGAATACCAGTTTACAGCATGGCCTTCGATGCCCTTTTTGATGTTCTGCAGATTGTCAGGGAATGTTAGCAAACACAGCGGATTTAGTGGGGTGAGTGGGGGTGACATGAGAATGACACTGCATGGTTTTGTGGGGGTCTGCGCCAAAGGGAACACACCTCAGGTAGTTCCAGCCAATCGGACATGTTTTCGGCTGGGAAGATTATTGACTTGGCACCCGCTCGTCGAGCTGCGACGGTTTTCTCGCGCAGGCCACCGATACGGAGGACT